ACTATAAAGAGATGACCACAAAGAAATTGCAAAGAGACACAAAACCACCACGAAGCATGTGTACGAGGCGCCTATCGGACCATTGAGTCATAATCCTCCCGTGCTATTACTTTATATCAGAACACATTCTGCTGATTTCACTTTTTCACCCTTTGACACACTTTAGGGTGCTGCATTAACTCTCTCCTTTAGGTACTTTTGCTTACTGTTCTCTGTGTGATACAAGGTGTACTATGAGCCCATGCTGAAGTTGGACATCCTGACAGAGAGTGAGCGTGGACAGATCTTTGGTACGCTGGACTCTCTCATTCCTCTCCATCAAGGTAAACCGTGTTTCTGCTTTGAACTCTCTCTTAGTTTCCTAATCATGTATAAGGCATTCAGAGCTAAATAAAAAATCTGGGTAAATATTGTCGCTTGTTGGATTTCATTGTTTCATTATTGTATCTGTTAACTTCACACACTGTATATTCAAATATTATAGTTTTTCTTTCATAAAATGCATGACAGTGGACCAACACTGAATTGAACACTGTCACAATAGATTTAGCAAATATGTCCCAGATGTCGACATACAGTACATTTTGTGAATGTGGTGACATTGATGTGTTGAAAAATACCTACAAAAAAAGCCTCTAAAAGCATTCCTTTATTTAATTAAAGATGCCTGGCATAACTGAGTGAGAGATTGCTGATTATGCTTTTTTAGGCAAAGGAACATGAAGGAGTTTAATGTTAATCTCTCTCCGAGCTGTACTTACCCTGGTATTCATTGGGCAAATATCAATACAACAGTTTGAGTGTATTTTTATTTATTTTTATTTATTTAGATCTTCTGAGTCGCCTTGAGCGGCTGCGGGGATCAGAGAAGACAGTCGGGCAGGTGGGGCCTACTCTAATGGACTGGGTGAGTATTTCCATGGTTACCAAGGACTGATAGAGAATAAGAGAAAATGGCACAGCCTCCTTCACTCTCTCTAGTTCCTGTATTTACTCTATCATGTTCTTCTCTAAACCGGAGCCACAGAGTTCAGTCTGGCTTTTTATCTCACCGCACGTTTCTTCTCATTGCTCATCACTCCTCCCCTCCTCCTCTCTGTAGTTTCCTTGCCTTGAGGCCTATGTCACATACTGCTGTAACCAGGTGGGTGCTAAAGCCCTGCTGGACCAGAAGAAGCAGGAGAAACGGGTGGAGCACTTCCTTCGGCTGTGCCAGGAGTCCTCGTTCAGCAGGAAACTGGACCTGTGGAACTTCCTGGATCTCCCTCGGAGCCGCTTGGTGAAATACCCCCTGCTGTTGAAAGAGATACAGAAGTGCACGCCTCCAGAGCACCCGGATGAGGACTCATTGCCTGATGCTGTGAGTTGGAGATACACAAATTCATGTCCATTTTTTCTAAAAGGATCTATATTATCTATACTTTGGCTTTTAAGGCAAGATGTGTGCTGCTTTAAATATACCAGTGTTTTCTTGAAATTTGCTGAAATGTTGTAAAATACAAAAATACTTGTATTGCCTATTTCATTATATTCACAATTACTATAATAATAATAATACGTGTATTTAGTATAGCACCTTTCACAGAAATACAATTCTCAAAGTGCTTCACAAGAAAGAACACAAGTTCAAATTAAGACCACAGAAGCATGAATTCAAGGCAGAAATGAACATAAAAACAAAAACACAGACCCCATAGAGTCCGAAAGGAACAAACATAAAAACATAACACATCACACACATCTCCAGTAGAAACAAAAGCCAAAGTAAAAAGATGGGTCTTCAGTTGTTTTTTTTAAAAGCTTCTCCAGAGACTGCAGAGTGGATGTCTATAGTAGTTAAAATGTCTGTATTAGTAGTACTAGACACAACATTTGTCTGGCTGACTGTGGACACACTTACACAAATTATTAAGACCTAAGATATTTTGCATTTAGGCTTTGTAACCTTTAGGTTTTTTTCTCCTATAATGAAATCCATCAGACTGAAAATTGTGAATTCCAGGCATTCGGCTTTAGCTAGTAGTTCCTTCGTAATGTAAAACACTTTGCACATTGGCGCCTCCAAATTGTAGCAAAATATATTGTTTTCTGAAACATGAACTGAGGTGATCCTGTGATTTGACATCATAGTTACAAAAAAAAAATGGTCTGTATCTGTATTTATTGAGGGATGATAAGTTTAAAAATATGTTAAGGAGACAGTTTTTTGATTGAATGCCTTTAGTATTATTCTGTGGACATTAAAGGCTCACAAACAGGATGTTACTATTGTAAACATATCTTCCTTTGCTGAAATATACATGGCTTAATCAAATTCAGATCTCAACTCTAAATGTACACCTTAAATACATTAATTTAAGACTATCTGTTGTGTTCAGTTGGACATAATCCAGAGCATCGTGGCTGAGGTCAACAAGAAGACCGGAGAGGCGGAGTGTCAGTTCTACAGGAGGGGTCTCGCATACATTGAAGACAGCCAGAGACTACAAGAGATCCAGCTGTCCCGCTTCCTCTACTGCCACGGAGAGCTCAAGAACAACAAGGGCCAGGTAGCACCTCTATTTATAGACCTTTGGTTATCCTGAGGTTGTTGTTTGCACCTGAACATAACTTACTCTGTATACAGACCTTTGCTTCTCTCTGCCTCACTTAAGGTTGTTATCTTTTGCCCTTAATACAAACCTTGTATACAAACCTTGTACCTTACCCTTTATTCTTGCACTGTGTATGATCTGCTTTTGTTACCTGGCCCAAGATATGACATTATATCTGATTAATAGGTGCATTTTAACCTACATTTTGTTTATAGCTGTTCAAATATTGTAGTAAATATTTCCGTTAGGCCATACCTCTGACTTTGCATGTGTGTGTCCTCTGTCAGCGGCTGCATGTATTCCTGTTTGAGCTGGCCCTGGTGCTATCCAGGCCGACGGAGGACAAAGATGGAGGTCAGGTGTTTCATGTCTACAGACAGCCTCTGCCCAATTACTTGATAAACCTGGAGGAGATCCCAGATGGGGAGCCTGGTGGAGGGGGGTCCTTCAGAGGAGCCTTTACTGGAGGAAATGACAAAGGTAACATACTTATAAGATAGATCAATATTTATATATTTATGGATTAAACTATACATGAAAAAATGTCAGTTTCAAGTTCACATTCACAAAGTAACATTGAGTTTCTTTGTTCGAAACCCGCAGATATTAAATATATAAAGATATACCAGGAAAGTATTAAGTGGTCTTTATTTAGAATCTATGACCAGCATATAGTTGGTATCGACCAAAGTCAAAACGATTTTTGTTCTATTGATTGAATGATCAATTGTTTCAGCAATTATTTGAGCTGTTATTTTTATATTGATTATTATTATTGTTATTATATATACGTTTTGCCATGTTTCTTGCAAAATGAGGATTAAACATTCGATTTTGGCTACAACAAAGCCTATAGATACAGAGAAATCAATGCCACATTTCTTGAAGTGAAACCGACAAATGTACTTCCACTTAATTTACTCCCTCCTCTCCTCCATCTCTCTATCTCCAAGTGAAGAACTGTTTCCGTGTGAGCAGCAGGGGGCGCTCCAAAGCTCACCCTTACAGCCTGCAGGCCAACGACTCCTTCAGCAAGCAGCAGTGGATCACCTGTCTGCGGCGGGCCATCGTCCAGTCCCGGGACAGGACCTCTCTGAGCAGCCAGTCACAGCTCTGCCTCCCCCCCGACCCCATCCTGTGTCACATAGCCGACCTCAGCCTCAGCTCGGACACAGACTTGGCCGACCATAACAGTCGCTGAAGACCAGGAGGCCCGGGGAGTGTCTTTCTATCTGTACATTGACATTGGAGAGAATAAAATATGGACTGTTAGTGAAAGACCATTGTGCTTGGACAGACATAAAGAATTTCCTGCATGGATTTTGTATTTTCTTGCATTTGCTGAAGTATTGTGTATTTGTGGTGATGATAACTGTACAGCTTGAGAACAGTATTTTCTGAATGTCAATTCACAGTGTAAAATGTTTTCATAGATTCTTTCTGTTTAATTTTTTAATAAATAAACTGACACTTGAATGTTTTTCTGAAGTACACATGGCAAAGTCCGCAAACAATTATCTAAGTATAGCTAACAAGATCCACAAAGAAAAGATTAGTGATGATTATCCTCCCTCCCTTTCTCCCTCTCCCTCTTCCTTTCTCTCCCCCTCTCTCTCTGACACCGGTGACAGGGCAGGACAGAGGTAGACTTTCAGTTCTAGCCTTCAATACACAGTGAAACAGTAGCCGTGCCCTTATGCATTTTTAACAGCTCAGCAGGTGATGGGAACAGTTTGGTTGGGACAGTTTGTCCACAGATAGAGTGACCAAATAAACAGGTGAGTCAAAACTGCTTTTATGATTTTACTAATGCTGCCATGTTTGTCAGAAATGATTTTCACACTTACTTTGTTTACAAGATTGTACCATGTATCTACGCCTAACAACAATGACTTGGCTAGCTGCGTCAGGGGATCAAAACATACCTTTGTTGTGAGATTCTGCATATTCTGTTTCATGTTGTATATTCTTAAGGTAATGTGCACTTGATGGGAGTTCTCTAGAATTGACCTCTCTTTGTAAAGATGTGCCCTGAACCTGATATGTTTATATCTGGATGCATTGAGGTGTCTGTCGGACCTTGACTTTCCTAGCTGTTCTGCAAGCTGTAAATATGAGAGGGAATTGCAAGATAGATCTATTCAAAATAAGGATTTACCTTTAAGGGATTCTCATTCACAAATCAACCCTGTTCTTTTCCCCTCAGCTGTTAATGACACGCCTTGTCATTTCCCTGGAAAAAAAAGAGGACTTTCTTATGAACTCCAATCACAGGTCTGCTCACCTTTAACACTGCCTGCGAATAAACAGAGGTGGTGCAAAAACCGCCTGGCGTTTTTCTTTTTGGGAAGCCCTTCTTTACGTCCTAGGAGACACAATACACGTTCCAAAGTGTAGTAAAATAGGATGCCCGGAGCTAGTGGTGTCAATACTGAGGGGTCTTGTGAGGCCCTGTGTCGAACCCTTGTCTCCCAGAAGGGCCTGCAGCGAGAGACGGCTGACATCTCCCATTCTGTCCTCTACACTTCACTGATGGGCCTGCTTCTGGTCACCGACAACGAGGTGAGAAAAACACAACAAAGCATTTACCCTTGATGTATGGTAAAACCTTTAAGTGTTGCACTTAAAGGTCGAATTCGGGACACTAGAGAGAAAAACATAAACAGATCGAGATTGTGAAAAATAATTAATGGAGAGTACACGCTGACACACACGTGTTTAAGCAGCTGTCAGCACTCCTTGGTCTCTAATAGGATGAATGCTTCAGGCTGACCTCCTTTTAGCCTCTCTTGTTATGCTGTTGGGATAAGGAGGCTAAATCTGTCCTACCAATGCTGTACATTCACTGACATGGCAGGGTTAAGACAGAGAGAACAGTAGCATGGTTTACAGACACAGCCAGGGGTGAAATAACAGGGCAAATATGCACCTGGACACACGTGTACAAAAATGTAAATAGGGTGTATACTTGAAGACAAAGTTTGGGTCAATAGCTTCTTGTGTTGTCATTTTTTCCCAGAAAGAGAAGCTCACCGTAGGAAGTGGAAGAGTTGGCCTTAAAAACATAGGAAATACAGTAAGTGCTTAGTAATGCATTGTGGCCTTAATTAAAGTCCTTTATGGCTAACTAAAAATACATTTTGCCATAACAAGCTCACTTTCCCTTTTGCTTTGTCTTCAACTTAGTGCTTCCTGAACGCAGTAGTTCAATGCTTGTCTCACACGCGTGGCCTTCGGGACTACAGCCTCCTCAAGTCCTACAGGGATGACAAGTTCTCCAAAGAGGAGACTAAACTCATGGAAGGTAGGTTCCTCTCTCCTGTCGTTGCCTCCTCTTCCTGCTATGTTTTCATTTGTACTCATTTGTTATTGCTCTTTGTCTCCCTGTGCCAGCCTTCTCTCAGGTGCTGTCAGGCCTTTGGGATGTAAATGAAGGGGACACAGTCGTAAACCCACGACAGTTTTACAACATTTTTAAAGACGCGGTGCCTTACTTCAGTGGATACAGGTGAGAATAAAGATGATGTTTCTCTTTCCCTCAAGGTTGTCTTTCCATTAGACTTAAATGCAATACAATATCCATGTGTGCATCAGCACAACTGTTTCAAGGACAAGACAAGAACAGTAAACCATTTCAATTCAATGTGTACTCTCCTATAACGTGTATAGATTGGATTTGAAGCAGAGTTCATATAGAAATAGCTTCCTTAATTAGTGACAATAAGGAGTATTTCCTCTGTGTTTAACCCAGTCAACAGGATGCACAGGAGTTCCTCAGGTTCCTATTGGACAAGCTGCACACAGAAATCAATCGCAGACCCTATGTTCGAAGAACAGGAAAGGAGCCTGAGCAAACATTTGCCAGATTTAGGTTTGTATATATATGTGGGAAAGATTCTGTCCTTAAAACTTTAAAGTCTTCATGTGACCACATCTCTTTTTCACGCATGTCTTGTTTTCCTTTAGGATTTCAGAAGAGGCCGCTGCCATGTGGAAGAAACACTTGGAGAGAGATGACAGCAGAATAGTAGGTAAGGAGAGCAATGCAGTCATCGTGATCCATCAGAATAATCCTCAAAATAAATTAAATGAAGGCAACCCTCTGGTAATTTCCCCCCCCCCCCCCCCCCCCCCCCATAGACCTGTTTTCGGGCCAGCTGAGGAGCTCGCTGCATTGCTCCGTGTGCTCCCACTCCTCCAACACATTCGACGTGTTCTGTGATCTGTCGCTGCCCATCCCCAAGAGGAGCTCCTCTGGGCAGGTCACACTGAGGGAGTGCCTGGAGCTCTTCTCTCAGGAGGAGAAACTGGACAAGGACAATTCCCCTGTAGGTTAACAGTACACAAAGTAATGGATCACAGTTGATTGACGTGTCTCACATTTTGGGGTGAAAGGTCAATGAATAAGGCACTATAAACTGGGAATGGTTTGTTCCAAAACTGGATTTGTGTCCATCTGTAGCCTACACCTTTTGTACTCTTATCTATATAAATCATTGTTCTTACTTTTATCCTTATTTATTTTACTTATATGTGCACATGAAGCCAAAGAGCTTATGCTGTGTCAATGGAAAAACAAAGCAAACTAAAACGTACTATGATGGGTAATGGAAATATAAATGTGTGAACACCGGTCAAATGGAAATATAAAACAAAAAAAGTACTGTAGACATATTATGAAGTAATTTTTTATTTGATTTCAAACTGTTGCATGTCATGATATATTGATATTTAAAATGATTACAGTGAGATGATTTAAAATCCTTTCGAAGACCAGAGTTTGAATGAAGGTCTGAGAATAAATGCATATTTAAAAAGTATTAAAAAATACTTAAACTTTCTAAACAGATTGATAAAGTTAGGACTAACTAGTACTACCTGAATTATATTGCTTTACTCACTACTGTATCAATAAAAGTGTATTGCAAACAAGAAGTCAAATAACAGTACTGGGGGAAACAATTTAAATACTTTCATCAATATTCCAGATAATTTTTATTAACTTTTTTAAACAAATAGCTAATGACAATGGACCTTGTGTATTTTTGAAATATTTTAAAATGTTGAGGTGTTTGTTTTTGTGATTTCAGATGTGTGAAAGGTGTAACAGGCACACTGAGTGCACCAAGCGGCTTTCCATCCAGAGGTTTCCCCAGGTTATTGTGATACGTATCCTTGACCACAGCTCTTACTCAGTGTATTAAGCTTGTTATGAGCAAGTGATGATTTAGTACATGACTTTATGATGGTACTTAACAGTCTCGATCAGATCTGAACCGTTTCACCACATCTCGCTGGTCTATCAGTAAAAGCACAGTGTATGTGTCCTTCCCTCTCACTAACCTGGACCTCGGACGCTACGGGCCTGTCGACTGTGGTAACCAAACAAAACCTTTCTTTAGATTATCCTTGTTATGTCTAATGTATTCCTTTTACATGCAATCATGAATGTTACTGTTAAATGGTAATAAGGACATATCGACATGTATTCAACATCTTATCCAGTCATCCTGTGTTACTCTTTGTTTGATAATTAAGTTCTAGACTATTTGTAACAATAAGTAGATGTTTTCATTGTTTACATAATTGAAACTGATCAGTTCTCATAAATGGAATAGATAAGTCATATTATCTCTGTATGTCCCCACAGGTCCAGTTCTGTATGATTTATATGCAATATGTAACCATGCTGGCACAGTGAACATGGGCCACTACACAGCCTGCTGTTCGGATGAAAATGGTTGGTGCTTCTACAACGACTCCAGGTGAGAAACGTCCTGCACACAAATAATGTTGTTTTATAATGCCCTGCAAACAGCATTGTCTATGTACAAGAGCCTGCTGTCAGTAGGTCATCTGTATTGAGACATCTCAAGTGCTAGTAGAAGTACTGGGATGTTTTACTTATTGTCATACAAATAAAGTAACACAAGTAAATATATTTGTCATGCATATTGGCCCTTTTAAAAATCATACATTAAGTTACTTGATTAAGTATATTATTGCATTAATCAGTTCATCTCAGCTGGTAAAGGTGGAGCTAATTTTAATTATGTATATACTGCTGCTGGGTACATGTTTATTTATTAGTTGATTTGTATTTTGTATTGGCTGATTATGTGTATCTGTAAGGTAACTAGTACCTGAAGCTGTGAGAAAAATGTACAAAAGGTACATTATTGTCCTACAAAATGTAGTAGTATAAAGTAGCATACAATGAAAATATTTAGGTAAAGTACAAATACCCTCAAATCGTACTTAAATAAAGTAAATTAACTTCATTACATTACACTACCGTTTACTAATATAAACCTGGAACTGTTTCTCATGATTTATTTCCATCTTCCCAACTACAGTGTTACTCCAGTCTCAGAGAACCAGCTTCAGACCAATCAAGCCTATGTGCTGTTCTACCAGCGCAGCAACAGTACCACCATCAGGAAATAGACCCGACACTGGCTGAGCCAAGCAGCCAATCAGAGCAACCTCCAGTGTCCATAGAAACAAATAGAAGCAGCAGTGCTGGCATCTATGCGCAGCTCAATCTCAATGAGCATGCTATGGGCATAGATATGTCTCATAACTATTTGTGTGAACATAAAAATAATTTGTGTGTAAATATGTGATTTGTAAATGTAAAACAACATCCACAAATGCATTTAAAAGATTTGCAAACTCACAAATACATTTGCAAGTGTAAAACGGATCTGCAAATACGCTAAATATGTTCACAAATTAAAAAAAGATCTGTGAATATCTCTTTAACATTTACACCTTTCGATCAGGCATTTGTGAATCCATTTTGTATTTGTGGACCAAAAATGCGCTTGCGGATCTCAAATCTCTGTTCACGGATCTCAAATCTCTGTTCGCGGATCGTCTTTTGAGACATATTTTCCGCCGGTCTCGGCTAAAATCTACTCGTGTCACTCGGTTATTTTCGGAAACCACGTGATGGCCTGCTGATGACGACATTTCCGCATGATTTCAAAGTAAGAGCATGATGGTTTGTTTAATGCTCTGTTTTTGTATTATAATGAACAGCGGAACGTTAGATGCATTCTTTATCACCATAACCCTGACCTAAATACGGTGCTTTTCTACAGATTACTTTATTACTGCACTGGTAAGGTAAAATTAGGCCGATTAATAAGATGTGAAGTGCTTTGTAACTTCGAGCCGCTTGACTGAATACACAACAAACAATGAAGAAAGAGTTTTATCTGGGCTGTTTCGCTGCCAGCTGCTCCCCCCGGGACCCGAAAGTGGCGTATAGCCTGCACTTCAACATCAACGAAAGTGCTCGATATATGCTATATTGAACCAATAACACAAACTAACTGTATCACTATAACATGATGATGATGGTGATGGTGATGAAGAATGCATCTAACGTTCCGCTGTTCATTATAATACAAAAACAGACCATTAAACAAACCATCATGCTCTTACTTTGAAATCATGCGGAAATGTCGTCATCAGCAGGCCATCACGTGGTTTCCGAAAATAACCGAGTGACATGAGTAGATTTTAGCCGAGACCGGCGGAAAATATGTCTCAAAATTCCGTGTGTGTAAAAAGACGATCCGCGAACAGAGATTTGAGATCCGTGAACAGAGATTTGAGATCCGCAAGCGCATTTTTGGTCCACAAATACAAAATGGATTCACAAATGCCTGATCGAAAGGTGTAAATGTTAAAGAGATATTCACAGATCTTTTTTTTATTTGTGAACATATTTAGCGTATTTGCAGATCCGTTTTACACTTGCAAATGTATTTGTGAGTTTGCAAATCTTTTAAATGCATTTGTGGATGTTGTTTTACATTTACAAATCACATATTTACACACAAATTATTTTTATGTTCACACAAATAATTATGAGACATATCTATGCCCATAGAATGCCCTCAAATAATCTCTGTGGAAGATGAGGGAGACGCCATGCTATGGGCTCAGAACAGTCTCATAATACACACATGCACACAGAAGGATTCAAACTTGTATTTCCGGATCCACACTTGTGTTTTTCAATGCACACACAAATGTGTTCCGTTTCATATACATGTAAATAAAATCCAAATACAGAAAAAAGTTTTACATATGTATTTTTGATCCTCACTTATTAGTTTCCCGTTTAAATCCCCTGAACCTGCAAACACAGCTTTCTGTGCACGGATCGCTTTGCATTCGTGTGTGGGTTTTTTGAGACTCCCCTGACGGTCAGCCGATTCGTACTTGTAATGTTTTCTATCTATAGCCAATCAGATGTCTCCTTCATTCTAAGCCAATCACATGAGCGCGCCCCCACGAGGGTAAAATTACTTCATATACGCATTTTGCGCAGTCCGGTCAGCTCGCCAAACAGAGGGCGGAGCATCAGGTGATCATGCAGAGCTGGTGTCTCCATCAGACTCAGCAGCTGATCTGATCTCTCTCTTGCGTCCGGTTATACTTCACTTGCGTTTATGTCCATATCGATCAGATCCAGCCCTCCTAATCGGCCTTTATAGAGAGCACCGATCAAACTATTAAGAGTGAATATCGGCCGATAATGACCGGCGGGGCTCCCCCCGTTAACAGGTCACTGTCTAGCACTGGCTTCGTAGTGCACTGATCGATTAGGCTAAACTAACCTGTAGCTGCTCCCTCCACACTCACAACAACTTCATACAGACATAAATAAAGCAGCTGTATTCGCCATAGGCCTACATACATACATTTAAAACGGTGTACACAAGCATTCATCAATGGTTTGGAAAGTGGCGCTGTACCTTAATAATATAAAGGCTTGTATTTGCGTGCATTTCCTGTTCGGAAAGTGGCGCTGTACTGAGAGTGGAGGGTGTCCTGAGATTAGCGCCTGCAGGAAGGCTCCATGGAGCTGTCAACTCCGGACTGCGCAAAATGCGTACATGAAGCGCTACGTCATGAACGCAAGAAATCTACCCTCGTGGGGGCGCGCTCATGTGATTGGCTTAGAATTGAGGAGACATCTGATTGGCTATAGATAGAAACAATTACAAGTACGAATCGGCTGACCGTCAGGGGAGTCTAAAAAAACCCACACACGAATGCACAGCGATCCGTGCACAGAAAGCTGTTTGTGTTTGCAGGTTCAGAGGTTTTAAATGGAAACCAAATATGTGAGGATCAAAAATACACATGTAAAACTTTTTTCTGTATTTGGATTTTATTTACATGTATATGAAACGGAATACATTTGTGTGTGCATTGAAAAACACAAGTGGATCCGGAAATACAAGTGTGAATCCTTCTGTGCGCATGTGTGTATTATGAGACTGTTCTGAGCCCATACCATGCTCACTTTAAGCAGAGTTTGACGAGGCAATCTCCCCTCCTGAATCATGGAGATGCTTTTGAAGAGTCTCAGTGAGAGACAGAGGCAGCTCAGACACACTTCAGCCTTAAGAGTGTCTGCCTTACTTCTCAGGCAGGAGTGAGCGGTGAACTTGCACACAATGCATAGCTCCTGATGTTAAATAATTATGATTCATGCTTGTGATGCAACATACACCCAAATAAACAAAAATACATATTTGGTAGAATACAAATAGGCAACAAGTGATGACCCAATATAGTGGCATTTCATTTAAATTTGTGATAATAAAGGGCACATGATTCAAAATGAAAAGGTCTGTAGTGTATGTTTCCTCTGACAGTTAACCCTGAAACTTGAAAACATTGTGGACTGTTTTTCCCTCCAATAGAATTATAATTTCTATGTTTATATAAATGTATGTATATATTTTTTTTACATTTGTGTCTCAAATGACACAATTGAATGTAATGCATAATTGATTTTTGAAACATCAATAAAAGATCAATGAAAGCATCTGAGCAATCAATTACAATTAAAGAAACACCCAGATGTCCAGGGGACAGTGTACAAAGCTAAAGGACATTAATTATTCACACAAATATATTAAAGAAGGTGCACCAATTAATTGTTTTTGTAGGAACAATTATCTTTTAGGGGTTGATAGGTTTATTTACCAATACAAATATATATATATATATATATATACTGTTATGAATATGAGATTAAATAAATAATTTAATTATAAATACATATTAGGTTATTAACACAGGCCTAATATGCTTTGCCGTTATTGCCATTCAATTAATTGTAAGCAAACAGAACAGTAGGGACAGTAAGCCCTATGCTGTATTTGTTTCCGAAACATTATTTATTAGAAAAATGTAATGTGTTTGTTTGATAGTTACGGTTTTAATTTGCGAAACAAAATGAATTAGTTTATTAGGTAGTGTTTTATATTTGCAAACCACACGGTGTCTGCTAGTGAATCATAGGGCATTTGTAAAACATGATTAGTTTGTTTGTGGACTGTGGAGTTATGGCAGGAAATTGGCTCCATAGGAGAGTCAATATCAACAAAAATAATACTCCATAACACTTGGTTCATTGAAATATAAAGAAAACAGGGATAAAATACACATATGGTTTTGATTGCCTTCTTGTTTTTAAAATGTTTAATAGTGGTGCCATGTTGTTGTATCTTCAAGTTGGAAAAAGGTGCCACAGCCTACCGACAAATGACGTACTTGTGCACATGCGCGCAGTAGCAGTGGGCGGAGTTTTCCAGTCGGTCAGGAAGAGGAGAAAGGCGGACACAGAAACATCAAGCGGTAATCTTACTCAGTTATAGCTTTTAAACTTTAATGCTGATTCTTGTTTCACTCAGAGAAGTATCACAGCGGTGCAATGAATGCTGAAGATATGATTTCAGAGAGAAAACATTTAATGACAGTGATCCTAACCACGGGAAACACCGTTAGCTTTCTTGCTAGCTAATGTTAGCTGGTTTGACAGGCCCGGACTGCACAGTCTTTCAGCAGGAATGGGAACACAGCACGGAAATGTCTCATGTTTACACCCTCATCCTCCCTGTGTTCTAGTCGGGTCGTTTTAAGTTAGATGTATCTTGTGAATCAGGGTATTTTAGTGAAACTCTGAGATAAGGAGACCGGTGTTCTAGCGTTGCTAACGTTGACTGAGCTGTTACTTCTCACGTTATATGGCAACCATGGTCAGAGGTGGGAGAAATACTCAGATCTTGTAAAAGTAGAAGTTCCAGACGGTAGGAATTCTCTGTTACAAGTAAGAGTCCTGCATTCAATGTGTTATTTAAGTTAAAGTACAAAAGTATTCGCATCAAAGTACCACAAGTAAAAGTACTCCTTTATGCAGATAGGCCCATTTCAAAATAATGCATATTTTTTTGTTCTGATTATGATTATTGATGCATGAATGTGTTTATCAGCTAGTTTTAATGACTTTGTATACTGCAGGGTAGCTAGGTAATGTTACTCCAGGTGTAACTAAAGTATTTTTTAAGTGTTGTTTATATTTTAAATCATTAATCCAAATCTGCAAAGTAACTGAAGATAACAGTACATTATTAATCTCTGAATTGTAGTGGGGTAGAAGAAGAAAGTAGAATATTTTGAAATACTCAAGTAAAGTCCCCTCAAAATGGTTGTTAAGTAGTATTTAAGTTAATGTACTTTACCCCACTGACCATGGTGAACTGTTGATAAAACATAGGAAGCATTATAATTGTATCGTTATGTTTAAAGTTCTTATTCATCATGATCTTGAATCATTGCCCATTTTGTAAAGGTACGTTTGGGTTTTATTATTGCTACATTTTAATAAAGTATGTCCTTGTTTTGTACTGTTTTGAACAGATGGCTGCTATCAGGAAGAAGTTGGTGATAGTTGGGGATGGAGCGTGTGGGAAGACCTGCCTGCTCATCGTCTTCAGTAAGGACCAGTTCCCCGAGGTCTACGTCCCCACTGTGTTCGAGAACTATGTGGCCGACATTGAAGTGGATGGGAAACAGGTGAGACACAAAACACTGAGGACACTAGGATCTGTGGCGTCCAAAGGGCCCTTGAACATTTTGTAATACTTCATTTAACTTAATTATCACATTCAGGATTTTTAATGCAGTTTTGTCTTCATTTAAATGTTACCCAGTTAGGGGGAAAACTAACTATTCAAAACTATCAAATGTCCAAATCAGGTCAAAATCACAATTTCCACATTCTCACTTTTGAAAGCATCAAATGTTAGGAATTTTTGCTGGAAAAATGATTTAATAATTGATCAATTATTAGAATAGTGGCTGATTAGTTTTCTGTATGTTTCGTTTCAGTTCTACTTTAAATTGGATTTTGTGTCCTATTATTAGTACAAGAACCAAAGACCTTGAGTTCACTATTATTCAAGACTAAGATACACAGCAAATATTGATCATTTATTTATGAATATTTAAATATTTCTTAGATATAATCTTTGGCCAAGAATTACCTAAATATGCATTCTATTTTTTTCTTTTGGCTGTCTTACTATTTAAAGTATAAGTCTGACTTATATTGTAACTTAAATGTTGAAACTGCCTTTTTTACTTTTTCATGATTCATTTATGTCCTCAAATGTATCTCTCTCTCTCTCTCTCTTCTCAGGTGGAGCTAGCACTTTGGGACACAGCCGGTCAGGAAGACTATGACAGGCTGAGGCCTCTCTCCTACCCCGACACTGATGTTATTCTCATGTGCTTCTCTGTAGACAGCCCGGACAGTTTAGGTATTGTCTCTGCTAGTTACACCACAATGTATCAAACACCTTGTTGTTATGAAATTGATATATGTTGTTAATTACTGTATTCTTTCCTTCCGCCTACTGTAGAGAATATTCCAGAGAAGTGGACACCTGAAGTGAAACACTTCTGCCCAAATGTTCCTATCATCCTGGTGGGTAACAAAAAAGATCTGCGCAATGACGACCACACCAGAAGAGAGCTTGCCAAAATGAAACAGGTCAGTTGCTTTGTCTAAAACTGCTGGTAGGTGCACATTTGTTGGTATAAATGTCCAAAATGTAAACTTTCTCTCCGGCTTATGTCTCCAGGAACCAGTTAAATTTGAAGATGGCAAAGAGATGTCGAACCGCATCAGTGCCTATGGCTACCAAGAGTGTTCTGCCAAAACCAAAGATGGTGTGAGGGAAGTCTTTGAGATGGCAACTAGGGCAGCACTGCAGGCCAAGAAGCGTGGCAGGAAGAACACCTGCCTTCTGTTATAGGCTCTGGAAGAGGAGGAAGCTGCCGTCAAGCACAGATGGAAAGGGCGGCTTTCATTGAGATTTGACACGGGAGAAAATTGGGGTGGGCCCAGAAAATATTTGCGTGTGCTCAATTTCTTATCACCCAATTATCCTTAACAAATTAAAACAGGTCTTAAATTATTTGAAAGGCTTTTACACCTTGGTCTATACATTAGAAGATGTGCCATTTTGCGTCAGCCTATCAAAAACTTCTAAAGGTCTGTAGGGCAGGACGTGGGGGGGGTGATTTGAAGTTGAGTAGATATAAACAGGGTTAAAATGTGCCATGATGGGAATGAAGAGAGAAAAAGGTCCTTACCAGGCCAAAGAAAATGGGGATATGACAAAGAAAGACGGAGAAAAGACATAAATATTAAATAGGTTTGAATTAAGACCATGTCTAAGTGGATTTTACACAGTATCGCCTACATGTAGTGCCTTGAGAGCAATGGTAAAGAAACGTAAGTTGTGGGGTAGGGATTCATAACTTAGATAGGGTATTATTTTGTCATTTGTAGTTTTCACACATCACATTTGTGAATGCTTATTCCCTGTCATTGGCTTTGCTCCTTCAGGCCCATATTCTGACTCAGGCGCTATGCAGGGGTATGCCTAAACTAGATTGTATGAGTTGATTTCCCATACTGAATTACTTACCTGTACTTAAGAGTGTGTGAGTGAGTGAGTGTGTGTGCAACTGTATGGTGGTTTGTTTTCTCCAGTGCAGTTCTGCATGCAGTGAATGTGTGTATATTTGTGTGGGTGTGTATTAACATATGTGTCTATGTACTGTATGCATGGAAAGGCCTTCTGCGTCACTGACCTAACCCCTTATTTCCATGCCAAAGTTACCCCTGATGGCCACATTTTATGGCTCAGATGGGTAATGGAATTAACAGCTACTCAGAGTGACATAGAAACTTTCACTTTACTGGAAGACATTGTACTTTACCTAGAGGCACAATCAGGTTAAACATGAGTTTTTAGGACCTGTTTTGTGTATACCAGAGATTCATTTGATTGTGTTAATCGGTGGGTCAAATCACGAGTGGTGTAGTTGAAACGTTGAATATTCTTTCAGATAGATGATAGGCTTATCTTATTACTATAATGTCCACTATGTACTGTATGTCTTACAAGGCTTTGTAAGGACATGTTAATGATGTGTATTTCAAGTTTGCCTTTTTCTCCATTCTCCCCATCCCTCCTTTAATGAAATTGTCATTATTGTCCTATAACTTTTTATTGTTGATGTCTCTAAATTTCTTAGCATATTTTAATCATTTTACATAATCCTGCTGTTTTGATCAGCTTATGTCAGTTAAATGATCAATTGTAACCGTGATATTGTTTAGTTGAAGGTAAAGCTTGAGGTGCAAGGCTGGAAGGTTTTGGGGATGGGCTCCTTTCTTTTTTTTCTTCTTTGCTTTTTGTACTGTGACATATTATGGTTTTTGTTTCTGGATTTTTTCCAAATAAAGCTGATATTAGGGTTTCTGTTGTAAGGTATTTATGTGTTCTTTACATTTATTTACTATTAATTGCAACCATTTCACTTATATTCCTGGCATTAATTCACTTTTTTCCTAAATAAAATACGCATAACTCTTCAAAAAAACTGATTCTATTATTTGATATACATCTACACTTCTGATTATGAACCAAATTAATTTAATATTGAGTGACTTTCACCGCTGTAGGATAAATAAAGGACTACAGATTCAGATTTAAAGCACAAACGCACCTAATAATACCATGCAGTGTGGAGGGCTACTAGTTAGAGTTGTCCTGGCTGTCTCGTCCAATCATCGTCGACATGAATGTGTTCGCTCTCGCAGAACCAATCGCACACCAGAGTCAGGTATTGGTACCCGCCCACTCTCAAATGTTTTCTTGCTGTGGCCATTTTACACTTGGTTCTTTGAAAAATAAAACACTCTTCTCACCTGAGCTTCGACGTGACATTTAAAGAACTATCGTTAGTTACATGTGACACTGGTAAGTTTTTCCCTATTTTAAATAAAACTGCGGTTGCTTCGTTTGCAACGGCTGACACAGGTTTTTTGGCTGCAGCGTCTCTGCTTGCACCAGTTAGCCAACCTCAGGCTAAAATAGTTAGCTTGCATGACCGCCACACGTCATTGTTAAAGACTCCTTTTTGGGTAGTAAGGTTGGGCATGTGCATTGCGCACACTTGTTAATGAGTGATGTACCCTCATGCATTTGTTTGTACATTTATGGCTTTTGCTAAGTAGTTTTATAAGGCAGTGATATGAGTTAAAGTTAGAGAAGTCTGCAGTCTTTTTTTAAAATGCAGCTGCCTGGAGAAAAAACAAAAAATGATGCTACCTGCCTCCAGTGCACGCACAGCTTGCACATCACTGACGTTACCACGCACATCACAGGAGGCCCTGCTTGTAAATTATTTTGTCATTTAAAGTAGTTACTTGCCACTTAAACACAATACTGTTACTTTTTGTATAGGTTACTTTACTTACTACTACGTCTTCACCTCTATGCATATCTATATATGTATTACTTCTCGTAATTTTTTTCTTTCAACATTCCTTTGCAAAACTTTCTACCGCACGCTTTTTTTTTATATATAATATCTAATGTCATGCGTGAAAATAGCTTTTTTTGTATACATATTTAAAGAGCATTTTTGGAGGGAGTCTAAGATTGTCGTTGCCAAAGACTGCTTCGCTGTTAGTGATGCATAACAGCGAAGCAGTCTTTGGCAAGTTTCACGCTGTTAATTATCATATTATGTTAATTATCATATTATGTTAATTATCATATTATGTTAATTATCCTTATATGATAATTAACAGCGTGAAACTTGAGCTATTGATTTTCAACTTAGTTTCTAAAAGACAGTCAGTCAGCAAAGTTATGGTTCTTCATATTATTGCTTCTGATTCAAAAGAGTAAATGGCTGACCTGTTTCCATGGTTTCCAATCCCATAATCAAACAGAAAAAGGGCAGAGACCAGGAGCAGAGTCAGGGGATCAGCATGGACTATGAGCGGAGGTGAGTCCAACTTTCTTCTTTAGCCTTTCTACCCTAAAGAGTTGATGTGTCCCACACATTTCTCACACTATATTTTTCATGGTCAACAGGGGTGGGCGAGGTGATCGCACTGGTCGCTATGAGAACACCCACAACGATCACAACTTTCGGGACATGGATTACCGAGGCTATGACCAAGAGGACGAGGAGGTGGGAACAGGATATGATGTCAGAGCAGATGGGGACGGACCGTACGGCCACGAAGAGCCATCATTGGGTGACTTCTCGTCAGGTTGCCTGCAAGACCGCCCGGGGGGGTTTCACCCGAGAGGAGATGGGCGAGGGGACATTGGGAGAGAGGGGAAAGGGCTCCTGTGGACCCCTCAGTCTGACTCAGCACTCCCCATGCTCCAGAGAGAGGATGATGGCTCCAGACGGGAGTTTGAACATATTTTGACTGGCCCGCAGGGAAGAGGTCGTGGAAGAGGTTTTCCTGACAACAGTGCCTCTCGTTCAGGGGGCAGAGAGGGCAACTGGGGGCACGGTGGGGGTGCACATCCAGAACAGATGGAATACAATACAGTGAGACAGAGAGAGGAGGATAGGTTCTCTCGTGCGGCAGTGAAGAGGAGGGTAAGCCATAACAAGTCCTTCAACAACAACATAGAACTGCTACAACATTATTTAGTTTTGACATTGGTTTCACATTTGCTCTATGCAGGCTTTTGTAGTGGGGGCAGAGGATCTGAGCTCTGGGAGTGCTGGTCCTGAGTTGTCCCTTGAGGAGATGGAGCAGAGGGACCAGGACTACCGTGCAGATCTGGACCATAACCAGAGGCCAAGCAACATCATAATGCTTCGCATGCTGCCACCCAATGCCAGTGCCAATGAGGTAAGTGTATGCAAGCGGTCTTATAAAGCATTGGAATGGTTTTATCTGGCCTTAATGTCACTAATGTCCCTTTGATCATAGATACGGGCACAACTTCAGGAGCAGGGGATCCAGCCAAGAGAGGTTCGCCTCATGAGAAACAAATCCTCAGGTGAGAACTTGTCCATTGCCCCGAATGTTTTTTAAAAATTAACTCTCCCTTTGTGACACACTCCATTACCCACTCTTTCACTTCATCGCTCTCTCAGGTGCCTTTCCTCTGCTCAGTGGTTTGTTTCTTATTAATAAGCTGATAAGCCTCCTTTTCCTCTTCTCTTACCCTCACTGTCTTTTTTTTCATACTGTGACAGTGAGATAGATGGCAAAGAATGCATATTTATATACTTATATATCGGCTTCTGCTAAGATTCCTGCTCTGATTTATTTTGGTCTGCTGGTGTCTGACTTCTGGCTCGCAGGGCAACAAAACAACATGCATGCTTTGAAGGAAGAGTCCATCAACATTTGTTTTTCAATCAAGAATGCATGCCATATATGTAATAGATCTGCATTGCATTCATTCTCCTTTTTGGCTTGGCTCTCTTATCTTTACCATTTCATGATTCTGCCTTATTCAACCTAATGCGAGATGTGTCCGAGTGGACAAACTAACACTGTCAAATGAGAAATGATCAGCAGAATGAAGAAGAATGCATTTCATGGTGTTTGTCATTGGAGCTAATTGTGAAAGTGTGAATGTAAGTGTCGCAGCTTCCTCTCAGCTACTGAGCGTCATCCATACCACTCAGCTTGTCTTTTTCTAAAGGTCCATTAAGGTCATGTCTCACTGGCCTCCCCCTTTGCTAACGCACTGGTTTCCTGTAAGTTGTGCCTATCTGACTCCGGCACACTTACAGTCCCCCACACTGCTCTTTCTCTCTCACCCCTGTATCTATGTCTGTTTTAAGGATAAATCACTCAATTTAAATGTTTAAATAATGATATTTTGTGATTGCCCTCCAATATTATACTATATATAGTGCTGTGAAATGACATACCTCTGAATTATTTGTATAATGTGTAGATTTTGAATCAGAATCTTACTCAGACTAGCAGAGATGTGTGTGTGTCTGTGTGTGTTTGTGTGTGTTTGTGTGTGTCTGTGTGTGCGAGATGTGTTGATGCCTGGGTGCTTCACCATTCAAAGCCAAAGAGCTCAGACTGGAACTGATGAGTGGGTAGGATTCTCCCTCTCTCTCCCTCTTTTCTTGACCCTGTTGAGAGACTTGACATTGCGTCCTCCCACCCTTGCAGAGAATTTGACAGTAGCACTCCAACTGGCTGTCAGGTGTGTTATTTCCAAGGGAGAGAGGAAGCAATGATTTGTTTGATTAGTGCTGCTACAGGGTCTCTCTCTCCTCTGGACATAAAGCACTAACCCCTCACTGCGTTGTTGTTATGTTGTTGTTGTTGTTGTTCGGTTACCATGGCGCTGGGCGGTGTCCAGGTCAGAGCCGAGGATTCGCCTTCGTCGAGTTTAATGTCATACAGGAGGCCACGCGCTGGATGGAGACCAACCAGGTCACTCTCCTCTACACAGACACACATACACATGTATACAAATGCATTGGTTATGGGACATGGGTTAGTATCAGGACAACATAATGTCAGGTGCACACGAGGCATTCCAGTGTAGACACAGTGGAGAAATAATTGTTGTCCTTGAGGTAGGTAGGTCTTTTTATTTAATGGGAAACTTCATCTTTTCTTTCTTTGTATACAGTATTCCACAAACAGACCAATTGATGTTACATCATACTGTCATCTATGCAAAGCACATATATATTGTGACTAGTCTCTGCCAGGCACATTTGCTCATCATTTACCCTACACAAGCTCCTCTATTATAGGGTCCTACTCTTTCTTCACTGACATGATCTCACTCTCTCTCTCTCCAGTCTACTATAGTACCACCTCTGTGACAGTGTAGAGTAGGAACTTTATTTCTCATATGGTCTGTATATAATACTTCATTTCTTGTTTTTGAACCTTTCATATCTGGGTCATGTACCATTACTACATCTTTAGTGCGGAGCTATTGTCTCTATGGGGGCTGAAGGTGGCGACAGTGGGATAGTATGTGTGGAAAACTGTGAAAAGGTTTCCCCTTAAGGGGGGAGGGATGACACATTGAACAAAACATGTTGAAAAATGGACACCCATGCACACACTACACATACACCATCTCAGTCCGTCCCAATTTCCTAAAGCTGAAGGTTGCAATTCTCTGGTGTCCTCTTTCTTTCAGCCTCAGTTCTACTCTCTGTCTCTCTGTCCCCCTCTCCCTCTCGTCCCTTTCACTCTCTCTCATCTCTTGTGAGATGAGGCCTTTCTCTGGCATGTGTGGCCTAATTATCACTGATAATCATTCTTTGTTCCCCCTCCCTCTCTTTCTTTTTCTTTCAGTCGGTGTTGTTGATTCTGGGACAAAGAGTGTCGATGCACTACAGCGACCCAAAACCGCGTGCCAACGAGGACTGGCTCTGCAACAAGGTTGTGTCTGCATTGTGTGGCATATGGAAATACATTTTAATTTGTGAAATGTATGCATATATGTCACTGTGT